AGTCCATGGGTGTCCTTACAGGATTGGTGTTGTGGGTAAAAATAGGAAGAGGAAAGGCTATGTATGGTGCCTTGAGCTCTCAAACTAAAGGAAAGTCCAGTTTCATCAGCAGCCGTGTGTCTGGCTGTGACGCTCACACCTGTCACCCCTTGATGACCCTTTCAAGTGCTTCTCACCCAGTTTCCACTAATTTCATACTACAGACTTTGTGGTCACTCATTTGTCCCAATGTTTTTTGCTATAAAAAGCAATTGTACCTCCATAGATGTTCACATTATTTTAAGGAGCTAATTCATCATCAAGAATTTCCAGAATTCAGAAAAAGTGGTGTCAGATGGACACATGCCCAGAGCCGTGCTCCAGCAGGGGGCTTGCCTGCAAGGCCAGAAGCTCTGACCCTGGATCATCTCCTCCTGGTCACTGGCGGTCATCTTTGAGCAAGCAAGCTAGAAATGAGAGGATCAAGAGAAGGAGCCATAATCTCCATCGGTCTCTTTTCCTCCTCTAGGTGATGGTGTCAATCCCTAGGAATGTCCCCATGTGCAGATAGGGGGAAGAGGTGGTATCCCTCCAGCTGTATATTCAGTGGGGGGACCTAACATGAGTCTCAAAATGCCTATGTAGAGATCCTGCATATGACAGAGAATTTTGGTTCCATGAGGATCCACTTCATATGGAGAGAGTCTCTACTTACACTCCATGTATTGGTACACAACTAGATCCTCATCTCATGTGCACCAAATGCACGGCGGCAAAGGATTGGTCCCTGAGAGAAAGAATGGCAGCAGCGTGTGAAGTTAAATTCCTCTACCCTAAAGCTACAAACTACCTTCAGGCCAGTGTCAGCAACACAGAGCTGGATGGAGAAAAAATTCCTAGGTGTGTCAGTGGCAGGGCAAGGCCATATGATACCACAGCCCACTCATTTTAAGCACTGGAATGAGGGTAGCTAGAGGGACCTTCTCAGCTTTCCTTAAAAAAAAAAAAAGGTGTGTGTGTGAAATATTCCATTCAAAATCCATGCTGCAGTAGAAGACATTTCTTGTCTTATGAACCAGCTGCGTTTGTTGAATTGCCAACCAGCAGCGCAAAGATCAAGTCTTAAAAATGTTTTTGGGCTTGTTTGTTTTGTTTTTTGTGTTAAAAATGGTTGTGGGGGAGTGAAGTTACGGAACTGGTTCTCACAGTGTATTTTAAATGCAATGAGTTATTTCTCCAAATATACAGAAACATCACGAGAGCTGTACTGGTACATGCCAGTTATGTGGTGCTTTGTTGTACAACACAATCATGCAATTGTGGCATCATCAGCCAAATCTTTTCTTTCCTTCTTCTTTTCTTAAGGAAGGATCACTTATGATCCAAAGATAGGATTTTGACTTCATATCATGTTATTCAAGTTAGGAAATAGGAAACTTTATTCATCTGAGTAAGCTTCATCTAGTTTTATAACTATAGAAGTCCCCTTTGGTATAGGAAGTGAAAAGATGCATGACTGAAGTAAGAATGGTGATAGTTTATTACTATTCTTAAGAAAAAAAAGTATACGCCCCAACTAATATATATATATATATATATTGCAGCAAAGGGCTATGTTACTACTCAATCAATAATGTGCTGAGGTCACTGCCTTTATTTAAATTATGGATGATTCCTTCTAAACTGTTAGCTGCTTTGATGTATGAGCAATAAAGTAGGATGAAATTATTCAAATTTTAATTAAATTAGTCACCTTAAACTCTTATGCTGAATAATCTTTTAGATCCATGATTTGTATAGTGCACACCTTTGCAACTAAAATGGCTAGGAACACAATGTTGCTTAAAATATGAATGTCTGATACGTTCAGCAAAATTTTATATGTGGTATCATTCTGTACTTTTCAGTGCTCCCACAGTATCATGACCCTAATCATTTCCCAAAGCCAGAGAACTGCACATTGGTCCTGCCAATTTCTACAATATTTGCATTTTCTTCTTTTCATTTCTTAAATAGAAGAATTGGAGACAGCTGCCTTACCTGCTGATCCATCTAGCCTGGTCTTGATTCCAGCTGGGCTCTCCAGCAAAGAGAAGTCTTTTCTACCACCTACTTCCTGGGATGATTTGAACTAGAGATGCTGAGGAAGGAATGCAGGACCAAGATTAAGCAGCCACTTGTGGGCTGTCAAAAAAAAAAAAAGGCAAAGGAGCCCAAATTTCCAAAATGGGTATGTTGTCAGTTTTAAGCATAGATGCAAAGGTAGAAATAATGGATGAGATTTAAATGAAAAAGTTGGCATATAATCAGCACAGTGAGAGAATGGTGACCAGTAACCCAGAGGTCTGCTGTTCAGATGTTAACTGGAGGTGGACCACTTTAACCACCCTCATCCTGGCCCACCTACATGTTTTTTAACCCTAAACTGCATTTGGACAAAAAACCTGAAACCATGAAATCAAGGACTCTTTTTTTAACTTCCTTTCCAGCTGTAACAATGACCTGTGGTCCTGTGCTTGAACTGTTTGGGCTCAGGATAAATCAGGTAGCTCCTTCTTCCGTAGATCTCTCTATGTGTTATCCTACTTTGGTGGACTGCTATTGGCCACTGGGCCTTTCCAGCAGGAACCACACTGAGACTATGCAACTCTGAAGAGGTTTGACCTGTTTTTGAGATTTTAGGCAAAGCCTTAATTTATTGTCTAATTTCCAGCCACTGAGTTGGACATGCAACTCTATTGATGCTTATTTGTAAGTAAGCTCCATGAATCATTAGGAAAGAGTGGAATTCCTGAGCAAATATTCTATGCTTGGATAGACCCTATTGATGTGGCTTTTGTCATTCCTTGTTTCTCCTACTTCATTGCAGAATAATTGGTTTCGGTTGCAGTATGTAACTTCTAGTCCGTAAGCTGCTCTGGGATCCTTCCAGGATTCAGAGTGGTTTTGTGTTTGATACATAAACAAACTGTGTTTCAAGTAGTTGGCTGGCTGTATTAGGACTTTTAACTAAAAGTAAGCAAACAGTATCTGGGAGTTTTGCAGCCCAGATACGGTGGCTCTATCAAAGAGCATGATAAATATGGTGGGAGGACTTTGATCTTTGCAGAGTTTGATTTCCATCCAGGGAAAAAGCATTCACCCCCCAAGTGACAGGTGGCACATCCTCAGAAAATCTGGTAGAAATCTGACGGCCTTCCCACCTGCACTATCCCACTTTTTTTTCTTAAACACAGGAAAAGGCTCTTCAGTAGAATCCCCAATTTTGCAGGTCCCTTTGGAATTTGGAGTGCACGTAACAGGCGTTCTCACAAAATAGTGGTCCCGATGGCGGAGGCCAAGCATAGTACGTCCAGAAGGCAAACCGAACCGCAGGCAGAAGCCAACTGCCACTTGATTTCTCATCTAGGACCAAGAGGAGTTTTGGAAACACAGACTCTGCTGGGGGATAAAGTTTTGCTTTGCAACTTACTCATGCGTAGCTTCCCATTCATTTTTTTTTTAAATTAAAAATGTTGGTCCTGGGGGGTGGGGGCATATTAAGGACCCTGGCTCTGTGGGATCTGCCTTTGAAATTGCTGAACATTTTGGTTGGAATACATGTACCAGGTGATTGCGTGGCGTTGATCACATAGAGCAAAACACAACTGGCTCTAAAACGAAATTGCATCCAAATTATGGGTGCTGAGGTTTATAGCCCTAAATGGTTTGGATGGATTCTTTCGGGCAAAGGTTTCTGTTTCTTTGTTTTGCTTTTAGTTTCACCAGTTTGCCTTGTGCTAAGAAGGTGTTTTAAAGGCATCCATTTTCAAATTGAGAGCACCTCCCATACTGTATGCATATTCATGCTCTGGCTGTCACAGAAGGTTCTTAGGAAAAAAATTAGCTGATTACTACAAAAGCCTTTTCATGATGGAGAAAAAAAAAGCCAGCTGGGATTGATCTGCCACATGTGGTATGGCATCAGGCAGTGTCCTCCCTTTTTTAACGGGTTGGAGGCAAAGGACAAGATGTCAGGACTTCCGCTGAACCAGCATGAGTGTTAAGTTCTTGGCCCCAGCGTACAAATGCAGATCGCTGGCAGGACCACAAATACAAAGGAACAAAAGCCATAAAATCTAGCCTGATCCAGCTTTGGGAACAATTAGGAGGTTTTCCTTAAAACAGGAAGCCAACCTGTAGTCTTAATCATTCCGATGTCTACACATTCTCGTGTCTGGACTGTGGGGGAAGCATGCCTTCACCCTGAGCCAGATCTCTCTCATCCTGAGGTCTGCATCCTAGGAATTACCCAGCTTGCTACACTGGGTACTCAATTACTCAAGAATTAAACATGTACGCACATCAGTATTCCATCTGTCAACCAGAATGTAATGAGGCCGCTGGTGTGTGTGTGTGGGGGGGCAACAGCCCAATAAACATAACAAACAACTCAGAAGCAGAGTAAGTAAAGTGACTCATAACTTGGGGAGTGTTCACAAGGGTGTGCGCACAACAATCACCTTGCATTCCCCTTTGGCAGTGACTCATCTTCTTGAATGCAAACGTATTAAGTCTCCGGAGAGAGATAACATCGTGCATCATGAGCATTAAGGATACCACTGCCCATTCTGTATATTCCAATTCTGCTTCATTGAGAATTTGGTATTAGTAGTAGAATTCGGTAGCTAGAATATCTTTAATTCCCCCCCCCCCATTTTAAGTGTTTTAAAACACATTTCCAGCCCTTACTGATGCAAAGAGAAGGCTGAAACTGTATAGGAAATTCAATTTTAAACACCCTCTAAAAACAAGGGGTTCTTGAGCTGTTGGTAGGTGTGGTAGAGACATTTATGGGAAACCTCAGTGCCACATATAGCTCCTGACACTTCCCTGAGGGTAGCAGCAGCATAGGAAATTACACAAAATAAGTACACAACTTGTGTAATTAAATTTTATGATTATTCAAATAATTTGGACAATATGTTTATAGTACTGTATGTGCATAGCCTTGTGTATATGCTAAGAGCCTGTGTGCATGGCATGGTGGGATGAAGAGATAAATGTGTCATGTAAACTCCCCAAACTGAGTTAATTTAACTAGCTAATTAATCCAGGTAGGCTTAGATTCAGACCTAGAATGGCCGAGTTTTGTTTGGGGCTAAACTAACTCCTTCCCAGTGAGTTATTTCTAAATGTTGACATTTAACAATCCCTTTCAGTGGACTTTTAGATCTTGATCTATTGGGGGTTTCTGTTCTTAAATTTTACCCTTCCGTTGCAATTATGTTCTATGGTTTCATGCGTTTTTTCCCTCCTGGAGGGGAACCAAAATATTCAAAAGGCAAAAAAAGGGAAAGAAAATGATACAGACACACCCCATCTCCGTTGCAATGGACTAAAAACTTGGCTGTGGGAAGACTGATGAAAGGGAACCAACATTGCATGTAGGCAGGACACAGAAGTGAGTCAACAGACTGGGAAGCAGAACGGCTAGTCATTTTTCGTAGATTACCATTATCTAGAACAAGTGTTTTTTCACTTCAGAGGTAACCACCTCAGCAGAGGACTTGCTCTACAGTCATCATGGAAATGATGGCCAAGTCATTGTGTATCTGCTGCTTTCTAAGGACAGGAGTTTCTGCTACCTCATGTGCATTTTACTGTGAGAGAGAGGAGCATTTAATGACTAAGCGAGGAGCCCGACTTTCATACAGAAATGGGGATGTGCAACGTATGCAGTTTCTCCTGCAACTGAAGCTACTGAAGGGATGAATCATGTGAGACCAAAGTATCCTAACAGATGGGTTTGGGCAGAAGGCATTTCTCCATCTCAGCCATCTGGACCTCAGCCTCTCTACCGATTGCACTGGCCTGTCACATTTTTTTTCCACATTACATGATGAGGGAAGCAGGCTGGCAACTTCTCGCTGTAGCAATTCCCCACCCACCCGAAAGGATTTTAGAATTGGCAAAGATCTGGAGGAAGAGCAACCTCGCACTTGCCCTGTAGCATATGCCAGTCACTGGAGGTACAAGAAATGGGTCTGAAAGTGAGATCTGGGGGAGACAAAAGAGGATGACAAGAAATACCAGTACGGACTAAGTCCCAGAGGGCCTTACTCATGCTGTCAAACCAAGGGCAGCTGGATGCCCCAATTCATTTATTTTAATGAAACCTTCCAAATTTATTATAAAAAAAATAAAGTGACAAACGAATCTATGGCTTAGAAGAGCCGTGCCTCCTTCCTTAACTCTTGGTCCTGCTGTGTACTTCTGACCTTTATATTATCATCAGAAAGGTCAGTAGAATGTACTCGGTCCTTCTATGGGCAAAATTCAGAAGCAAACATGTGAACCAAGAAAGCCCTTGTGCAACAGTAAAATGTTTCACCAGACAGGATTCTCCACCTCCATTTATGAAAGGTCAACTCCAGTGCAGCCAGAAGCATCCAATCCCACACTTTCTCCAAATAGTCTCCTCACTGCAGATACGAATGCCTGCAAGGGCTTAGGAAATTCCCAGTCATGTTCTTTCCACTTCCTGTTCCTGTGCTCTGTCCCTGATGCGACGGAAGACAGCTGGGAAGACCTTGCCTCCATTCCTCTGAACCTTCTTCCCTTCCTCAGTTGAAGTTCCTAGGAGGTTTACAATGGGGTCAGCAGCCTGTTTCAAGAATAAGGGCAGATGTTTACTGGATGGATGGTCACATCTAGACCAGCAAATGTATCCAATCAGAACACGTCACGTCACATAACTCTTCAAGCTGTCCTCCCCCAACTGGTGATCCCAAGATGGAACCACAATCAGTCCAACCACCAGGAACTTCTGCAACGAGCAAATAGAGAAGCTGAGCATTTGGAGCGTTTTGTCCCTCCTCCCTCCATCGTTGTTATAATTTTTGCCAAACGAACAAAAATTAGTAAGACAATTTGTGAGTTTATACATTCATTAAGTTTTACTTGCTGGTCCAAATCTAGTCTTGCAATCCTGTGGGGTCTTACTAGGGAGTCAGCCTTATGATCTTAATGCCAAGGAAACATGTAGAACAACTAGAACTCCCACCACCCAGACAGCATGGGAGCTGGTCATGGATACCTTAATTTGTGTTCCTCAGTGACCCAAATAAATCTCTTTTCATCTCTATGATGTAGAGGATGCAGGTTTAGCCCTCTTAATGTCTTGTGGAACAGAAGGATTTATCCCAAATTAATCTAATCTAGCAGATGCTGCCTTCTTCTTCACTGCAATCCCTTGCTTTCACTTTGAGTTACTAAACCTAAACAATATATCACATACATAAAGGGAGTGAGAGTGGAGAAGAATAGAAATCTCTTTTAGAGAAGCGTGGAAGTAGTTCCAGTGGTTTTCAAACAGTTGCTTCCCTCCCTTTATCAAATGTTTATGGCCACCCATCTCACAAAAAGTGACTCTGGGCAGCATACAGCGATTGATAAAACAATAAACGTATAAAAACAAAATTATTAAAAAATGCAAAAAATCACAAGGCACAAGAGAGAATAGATGTTAACCACAGTAATGGAGCCACCTTAAGATCTCACCAGGTCTTCTAAGCTTGTTATTTAGGAGGTGCCTAATAATTGCTATTTCTTTTTTTTACATTGCTACACAGATTTGATATTTTGGTAATGGTTTTAAAATGCACTTTGCCTGATTGCAGTCGGCCTAGAGAAAGTCCCACGGCCAGCAACCAGAATCAGGAACTTAATGTAACGTGCAAGGAGTGAAATACATATACATTAGCCCCACTCCCTCTCCCCTGACACACACACACACACAGAGAATCATGTCTGGAATTGCAAAATCTGTTACAACAGAAATTGCACAGCCACACATGCTTTCTTACCAATTCTTTTAATGGCACTTCCTCGAAAAGGGGATGTTCTTGAAAATGCTTTACCATCCACGTGTGCACCTCTTCCACATCTGTGATGGTATATACCAGGGCCTAGGTGAATGAAGGCTAAATTACATAAGCAGGACATGAGATAGACCCTCATGAATCAGAAATCAGACTGCTAACGAAGGGAAAAAGTAGTTTAAATACCCGCCCCCCACAAATTATACATTCATTAGAAAAATCTTGCAGCGAAAACTATCCTGTGCAGTAGAAAGGTCAATTCCCGACCAATGAGTAATTCCCAACTACCTCTGACTCTGACTTCTTTACCACCTGGGGCAAAAGGTTTGTAATCTTGGGGTTGTTGGGAGGGTAGTTGCCATCATTACTTCCGTCATCCCCATAGGAAGCACTTTGGTTGGGCTTTTCCCAACCTGTTCCTCCAGAGCAATAACTTTGGGAAAATCATGGAAAAGCTGAAGGGGGAGCATGATTCATCCTAACTGGGTGAGGCCAGATGCCATTCATCCCAAAGATGAGATTTCTTGGTTCCAACTCCAAAGAAGGATGGCTCACAAGTACTTTCTATCTTTTCTCTGGCAGGTGAAAGAAGAGTCAGCCAGAATGCCCTGCAGGAAGCAGCTAGAAATCAGCACCCAAAGAATTTCCTTCCAAGGCTCCCTGCCAGAACAAGCTCCCTGCTAGATGTAGGGGAAAGTTAATCCTTTCCCTCTGGCAAGCAACTGGCACTCTTCCCTACTCTCAGATCAGAAATTCCCAAATGTTAAGAAGGGCCTTTTCCCCATGGAATTTAGGATATGCTGATGTACCAGCACATGCTGATGGATTTCCATAAAGAAACTAATTACTCTTATGGTTTGAGAAAGGCAAAGTCCCTTCTGCATACCACCAATTAAAACCTGCCCTCGTGGATCACACTGGTACAACTGATCATCAAAGGGCATCTTCCATTCATACCCTCTCTTAGAGCATTAAGGAGAGAAAAGACTTTCTAGACTGATGTGTGCCACTACCTTCTGCTCTGGCCCATATGGTCTGGACCTTCAGGGCACTCATTCCAAACCATGAAACGAATGCAGAGCCCCTACACATTTCCTACAGAGATCATAAGAACTGACAGACAGCTTGGCGTAGTGTTTAAGGTGACAGGCTAGAAAACCGGGAGACTGTGAGGCACGAAGCCAGCTGGGTGACCCTGGGCCAGTCCCTCTCTCTCAGCCCTAGGAAGAAGGCAAGGGCAAACCACTTCAGATAATCTTGCCCGGTAAACTGCAGGGACTAGTCCTGGCAGTTCCCAGGAGTCAAAAGTGACTCAAAGGCACAAAAAGAAAATACAGTGGTACCTCAGGTCACGAACGCTTCTGTTCACGACCAATTCGGGTCACGAACAGCTCCGTTCGCAAAATTTTGCCTCCGTTCGCGAACTCCGCATCGGGTGACAAACAGGATCCGCGGCAATTTTCCCTGCCGTGACACGTGGTCGCGGCTTCCT